GAGTCTCTCATACCCGAAACTCCGACTACGATAAGAGCAATCGCTACTCTATCGACCGAAAAGTGACGACGCAGTGAATATAAGAGCCGAGCCCCATTTTTGACGGACAACAAAGAAATCTGGACTATCGTCCCGTAAATAGTAAAGAAAAGAGGCAACAGGAAACGTTCGTCAAGCATAAAGAGAAGGTACCACTCAGAGTATTCCGTCGCTTATAATATAAGAAGAAACCTCGTGTCCGTTGAACGACGCTTGGTGTGTTGTCGTATCTGTCCAAAAAGGTAAATGGAGACATTTTTTTATCCTTACGGCAGGTAAAAAGAACCTTTTGAGCCGTGAGGCACAGGTGAAAAGAGAAAAAACTGTCTCTCGTAAACCCTACTCCCACAGGTCCTCCAATAACTGACGTTAGTGAATGAGAATGAGGAGTGACCAAAATGTCAGACCGACCGCGAGAGTGCCAATGGCCATCGGGCCCCGCGTCATCACCGCGGGGTGATCACTCTTCCTAAGTATTATCCGGTCAAAAAAAACGGAGGAGAGGTAATCGGATGAATAAACGTGTTTCAGGAAGTCCTGAGAGCACCCGCGGTTCGACTTTACGACGAGGCGGCCACAGGCCTAGGCCGGGCGCGCCGGCATACAAACGGTAGCGGACTAGATTGTCCGCAGGCCATAGGTGATCGTAGAGGTGGGGGGCGGTAAAAACGTAAACTTACGAGTGGCTAAAGCACTCCAGAGTTCCAAGTTCACCTAAGCGTCCTGTTAACTATAATAGGACGTAAATTTGGAAAGTTCATAAACAAAGTCGTATCTATGCAAGCGAACCTTCGAGAAGTGTAACTTAGTCAAACAGTTTTAGTCTACGGACTCCCTTCAAAGGGTTCAGAAGTAGGCCTTAATATCGACATCGGTAGAGAAATTGTTGAAAAGTTACCGTAACAATAGTGATCGACGTCTACTAATAACAGTAGTTGGGTTATAATAGTAATAGTGAAAGGTGAAAAGTCAAAGAAAACCCATTTGGTTACCAGTCGGGACCAAGAATCCTTGAGAAAAGGAGTCTATGAGTACGTCGTAAAACAAGGTTAAAGACGGACTGAACAAATTCGGTGATATCACTGAAAGATCGAACAGTGGTTAAAGTGGAAAAATTGACCTAAACTGGAGTTTTGAAAGACCGCCAAGGTACATATAGAGTGTCTAGACCACGCCCAGCATCCATTCGTCAAAATGTAGGTAAACTGGCATTTAGTCTAACAGGACCACGACGAAGAAAACCGTAATTGTGAGAACTATGACCACTCCAATCGCCATCCAACTTTTACAGAGTAGTACAAAAGTGGGGAGAAGACTGACATAGGGAACCGATGTATAGCACGACATCAGCAAAGCCTGGGTATTGGAACCAAAACTATATTATGTGGGAAATGGGGGGTGACGAAAGCAGTGGAACTACCATTCAACCAGTCCTATTACACAGTAAAAGGAAAATCCTAACGTAAAGGAGTAGGTAACGTTATTGGGCTAACAAAACTGAGTCTACTCAATGGTCGAAGGATTTAACAATTTCCCTAATAACGTGTAAGTAGACTAATGTTATCAGTTATAAACAGCATCGACTAGGAGGTGAAAGGAAGGTGTATGTGACGGTGTATTCATTGACCTAAGAACTTTCTATTGGGGTTCGAGTGAGACACAGAAAGACAGAGACAATGGGTGTCATATCTATGACCTGATTGCAATCTAGTTGCCGTCTAAAACGGTCTACAACGAGACAGGAGTTTTCAGTCAGTAGTCTCGCCAAAGACAAAGAGCAAAACTTAACCGAACCAGTGTTGAAGTGTTCAGATCTAAAAACGTGAAAAGGTGACACTCCCTTTATCCTGGTACATCTGACCCTGAATAGAACAGTATAGGTTGTTTTTAAGGGGAGTGTGGAACTGAGCTTAAATAAAAACAGAACGAATATCCGTATCGTGTGACTGGGTTTAACACACGTAAAACTGTCCAATCCGGCAGATGGACAGTCGTATTTCATTCCACAGACAAACACGCCAACATTCGTAGACAAGGAAATGCATGTCGACGACAAACATGAACGTATCCAGGTGTATGAAAAACCGTCAAGAGTAAAAGATATTCGTGACGGTGGGACCGGTACAGTTTTTCACCACGCGGTTACAGGGTGAGTGTCACTCGGTAAAACTACACCTTATGACCACGACTGCAAAAGTACAGATCTAGAATATCATTACGAACCATTACAAAGGACACTTGAGATATAGTAACACCACTTGACTGATTAAATGAAAGGTACTACCCCGTCATAGCCGGTCTTTGAGAGAGACAACGAGTGACACAGTGAAAACAAAAATTCCTTTATGTGTTTAGTACGCTGACCCTCATTCAGTAGACAACTTACTATTTCGGTATGAATTCGGAAGAGACCTAACACCTAGATAACCAGCACAGATATAGACACGACGTGGTTGAGATCTCGTCGAAACCGAGATATCTAGCTCCGAGGGACAGGACCCAACCCATTTGGACAGGGAAATCGACGTATGGAGTGGTTACACGCTGCCAATGACAGAATGGAATGGGAATTGTCTGTACGGTAATTGTTGCTCAAGACATTGAGTACTTGTATAGTAGTTAAATGTCACGGTCCCAGGAGTACGGCTCGCCCCCCTCACCCTTGGATAAAAGGAGAGCTTCCCGGTAAATTTTAACAAGTTGTAGGAGGCTCCCGGCAGGTTTAATGAACTGGAGGAGAATTTTTACATGATTCTAGGTCGGGTAAGTAAAGCCGGAAAGAAAGTACGACACGTTTCCTTTTTCGTTGGAGCATGCATGCTGAAGGCTGCATAAATGGTGTGCCCTGAGAAGCGACAGGCTTTTGCCAACATTAGTCTAACGAGGAATACAGTGAAGGATAGGATTGCCGATCTTTCAGCAGATTTGGATAGCCAGAAAAAAACAGAAGTCAAGTCATTCGTAGCATTTTCAGTTGCAATCGATGAGAGCACTGACATTACAGATGTTGCTCAACTGGCCATATTCATTCGTGGTGTTGATGAGACTTTGACGGTCACCGAAGAGTTCCTTGAGATGGTTCCTATGACAGACACTACTAAAGCGGATGACATTTTTAGCGCTCTCGTTGAAGCACTGGACAGGGTTGGAGTGGACTGGACCCGTGCTGTCAGTCTGGCTAGAGACGGCGCGCCATCAATGATCGGGAAAAAAGCAGGTGTTGCAACGAAATTCAGGGAGAAAGTACAAGCAGCAAATGGAGGAGATCGTTTTTGGACATTCCACTGTATTTTGCACCAGGAGGCATTGTGTTGCAAGTCGTTAAAAATTGATCACGTCATGAAAGTGGTTGTCCAAACGGTTAATTTCATCCGAGCCAGAGGGCTGAATCACTGTCAGTTCGACAGCCTCCTCAGTAGGGATGGGAATCGTTAGGATTTTATCGATACCGGTACCGGTACTGCTTATCGGTATCGGTATTTTTCGATACTCTTATCGATACTTTTCAATAATTTGGTGTTAATAAACTAAAAAAAGACGAGGCGATGTGCCTGCAAGACTGCACCCAGGTAAACAAAACATATTACCCTTGCGCAGCAGCTAACCTGCCTGCGAGCCTTCGCTCAGGTCACATTTACACACGGCGCGGCTGAAGCCCGCTAGCATTAGCACTATTATCACTAGCAGTATCGCTAGCACCGTTTAAGATTCAATGAGTGTCTCGTTTGTAAATGCTTCATTAAGTTACTTTTGTAACCCCCTTTACAAGCAACTAATTGAGTACATAGATTGCACCTTGCACTATCGCCACTACATTTTTTTAAAGTGCACCCAGACCTTGGATCGCTTCGCTCTGTCCGCCATGCCTGCGGGAGTCTCTCAACAATAATAAGAGCGCCGTTGAGAGAGATGAGGAGTGGCATTTACAGTGGCCAATCAGAGGGGTCTCAAACCGGATACATCACACGGGATGAGGGTTCCCAACCAACCAGAATGGTTTAAAGTTAAAATAAGGAAGTAGACGTAACAGATATACCGATAGCAGCACCGTTTGTCCAGCGGCTTAACGGTATACCGATACCGTCCAATCAGGTACCGGTATTGACTTAGTACCGGTTCTCGGTACCCATCCCTACTCTTTAATGTCCCCTGGTTTCCGTTGTGTTCTGAGCTTCTTGCAGCGTTTGGTTTCTGCAGCTTTCAGTAAACGCTGCGCATGTCTCCTCAAGTTGCTGAATGTTCCCTAAACGCTGCATGTGTTGTCAAGTTGCTGGAGATGTTTGTTCATGTGGAACATTTGTGTTTTTATATTTTCTTAGTTTTTGAAGCTGGAAGAGTTTTAGGCGTGTTTGCACCAGTCAGTGATCGTAATTTGAAACACTCAACCCTGATATTTCAGAATAAGAGAGAGCACGGCCTGTCATTGAGGGCTGGTCTGTAATTACCCATATCACTGGGATCTGTTTGAAAGCCTTTAGTTCCCCCTCCGAGAGATCCTGATAGTGTGTGTGTGTGTGTGTGTGTGATGGACGTGATTGTGATGAGCTGACACGACTGTTTTTCACTTTTCCTGCATACCACAGAAGAGTCTGTGTGGAAGCAGTTAATGCCTCCTAGAAGATTCATTGTTATCAGCTGCAGGGCTTAGAAAAAGTCATTTATTGATTGTTTTTACTGATACTTCAATTGCAATATGATTCACGATACTATAAGAGTGATCATTTTTGGGAAAATAGTCACATTATCACTGAAAAATATATTTAAAGGGGCCCTATTCTGCTTTCTGGGGTGTTCCCTCTCCTGTAGTGTCCTATAGCAGTGGTTCTCAAATGGGGGTACGCGGACCCCTAGGGGTACGTTGGAGTACTGCAGGGGGTACGTGAGATTTATTTTATGTTAATGTAAAAAAAAACATAATTAATGCATTCAAACAAACTACTAATAGTAGATGAACTACTTTATTCAAAGGTTTACAGTAATTCTGGATAATAAAATGGGGAAAATAAACGGGGTGCTCTCTTTTCCTCTCCCTCTCCTGACATCCCGTCAGTCTCGTGCAGCTCGCTGAACCTGTAATAAGTGACCCGACAGTAAAGAATAAATATATTTATAACTAGTTTAGCTAGTTCCAGAGTAGATGAACTAGCTAAGTGTGTTAGGTCTAACTCTTAGTGTATTTTGCTCCGGGTTTTATATTAACAGAGTTACACATATTTCAAAACGTGAAGTGTAATAACTGCAGCTTGCCTCCCTGTCAGAATGACAAAGGTCCTCAGTGAAGCACAAGCCCATGTTTCTCACTACATTGTAAGTACAACTTATTTAAAAGATCAGTTCAATGCAACTAATGTCGTCTCAGTGTTATTGCATGATGTTAAAATTGGCTTGCCATGAATTTAGTGATGGTTTGTAAACATTTGAAATGTAGCATTTAAGTGTTTCTCAGTTACAAGAAGTGTTGTTGTTTTAATAAATCAGACACTGATGGTGCAGCGCTGTACCTCTTTATATAGGCTTTTTGTCCCTAACAAATTGTTTTTGCGCTGACCAGGGGGTACTTGGCTGCATTTTTTTTCAAAGGGGGTACATTATTGAAAAAAGTTTGAGAACCACTGGTTTAAGAGGAAACACACGGGATGTCTCTGGCTCAAACAGCTGAGAAGTTATGATGCTTTCAACGCAACGTGATATTTGGGATCGTATACGGTCCCGTGGGTCTCAGAGGGTTAAGGATTATTATTTCCCTTATTTTCTTGATGAATCGATTTGTTGTTTGGTGAATCAGGAAACGGGTCCACCAAAGTTCCCTGAAGACCACGGTGATTATCTTTTCTGTTTTATCTGACTTACAGTCCAAAAGCAAAGACATTCCGTTTACTGAAGTTAAGACACAAAAATAACACATTAATAATGCATTTCAGCAGCTCAAACCAGTCATTATTTTTCTCTGAAAATAAATGAAAAGATAACTCCGTTATTAAAATAGTTGGAAAATGTATTTGATGTTGATCAACTAATAGTTGCAGCTCCTACTAGGACCTACAATACTTTGAGTCAGTACCTGAGTAGCTACAGCTGATATTTACAGACATCAACATTTCTCCTGCTGCTATGTCTTTACATTTTCCCAGGGAACATCTTGTGAACTCAGCAGCTGTCATTCATCTGATTGGCCCGTGTATCAGCAGAAGCCCGTTCTTGTTAAAGGATTAAAATGGGGTCATCCCTACACTTGGCACCCTTTGAGGAAACGTGTCTCTGTCCTCACCGTTTCTGGATGAGGTAGTCCTCCAGAATGTCCAGGCAGCGCACCATCTGACTGAACACCAGCACTCTGTGGCCCCCCGCCTTCAGTTTGGGGAGCAGCTTGTCGATGAGCACCAGCTTGCCAGCAGCCTGCACCATGGCTTGGAGGGCCATGTCAGGCATGTCTGCCCGGCCACCGTGGGATTCCCTGAACTCCTCCGCAATCTTCTCCTCCGCTCCTGGACAAGGGAGGACAATTGAAACTCATCAGAGAAACATTTGGAACATGTAGACCAAGGGTGTCAAACATACAGACACTGGCCCACCAGAGAGTCCAAGAGGGCCAGTGGAGTGACTTGGCAAAGTGTAGAAATGACAGATAAGATATTAACTGCACAAATATAGTTCATTCAATGTGAACATTTTTTGCACTAAAACAAAGGGAAGGAGTTGTTGTTATTTATAGGTTATCATCCTATGATTTTACTGGTCCGGCCCACTTCAGACCAGATTTGGGTGTATATGGCCCCTGAACTTAAATGAGATGGACACCCCAGATTTATTTGTGGCAGAATTGTTATTTTTTAATTTAGTTACTGGAAGTGTGTTTATACCAGTAATGAGGTATGGGTGGTTGCAGCATTTCCTCAGTTCCATCATGGTGTTGAGGAGGTTGGGGACTCCTGCTCCTCCACCTGCTCCTCCTTTGGACAGGAAAGTGAAATTCTTCTCCAGAATGGCCCGATAGTATTTCTTCTGCATGTTGGTCAGCTCCACCTGAAAAAGGTTGACGCAATTCTTTTTTGTCCTTCTCTGAAACATATCCATGAAATGACGATGTATGGAAACCATCACCAGAACAAGACGGTTCAGATATCAGTCCTACCTCTATGATGGTCTCCTCCTTGGGGGCCAGGTTCTTCTCCACATCCTCCTTCAGTCTTCTCAGCATCATGGGCTTTAGAATGGCCTGCAGTTTCTGGACCTGAGAGCGTGGGAAGCAGGGTTAACACTTCAGTCAGTGAAGGAACCACAGGAAGTGTGAAGGTCCTCCCCTCTCCGAAGAGTTTTCCATTTACCTGCTCTTCAGTCTTTAGGTCTCCAAATTCACTCATGAATGTCAGTTCAGAGGGAAAGCGCTCGGGCTCCAGGAAGTTGAGTAAGCTGAAGAGCTCCTCCACCGTGTTCTGGAGAGGAGTCCCTGTCAGCAGGACTTTGTGCTCCTGCAAGAGGGAGAGACAGGAGAGAGGACGTTTGAGTGTCTCACATGAAGGCTTTGTCCAACTCCATACAAGAGCTTTGAAAAGCTACACAAATCTGGCTAAGAAAACATACCCTGTAATCAGTGTGCCAAAAAACGCACACTGCTTAAAAATACTTATTTTTAGTATATTCACATTTTTTTACCTACTATCGCAACTTTTTTTCTTAGAGCAAATTCCCTGCAAGTGTAAATGTACCCGGTAATAACCCTGATTCTGATTCATATGTACTGTGGACCTTACTCTGAGCTCAATTATCTTAGTGCGAGTGTGCAAAGGAATAAAAGAATGATTTCATATTTATCAGCTGACCCATCTTAGTTGCTAGGTTGTTTGTTTTAATAAATAATAATAAAGCTTTATTTGTAAAGCACTTTTCACAAGCCAGGTGCAGCTCAAATTGCTTTGACAAAATGGAAAACATCAAAGATTCACCTCAGGTCAAACATTGAAACTAGAGATGTCCCGATCCGATCACGTGATCGGGGATCGGAGCCGATCACGTGATTTTCAAAAGATCGGAAGAAAAAAAATCGGGGATCGGGATTTTTTTTGTATTAATACTTTTTTAAAAAATTTTGTATTCAATGTTACAAAACAAAAATGACCATGTTCAAGTCTTAAAGTCATCCTGAGGCCTTAGTTTTGGTTTCAAATTACAGAACATCATGTATGTGTTGCTTCTTTGGGGCTTGTTTTCATAGACCTGGTTGCTTATTTCTCTACAATCTGGCAACAGAGTGGGCAGGGCGCAGTGTCTAATTGTAGCAGTAAGCTAACGAGTACCGAAAGCTTTATTTTGTTTTGATCCAATGCTGCACAACTGAACTGATCCAATGCTGCTGTGAAAGAAAGAAGCTATATCCATGTTGGATAGAATATCCAATTTAAATAAGAAAAAATAACCTTAAGGGACAACTTGAATGCTTTTTTTTCTCTTAATGCATTGCATAAAGATCGGATCGGGAAAAATCGTATCGGCAAATTGTCAAAATCAAATGATCGGAATCGGATCGGGAGCAAAAAAAGGTGATCGGGACATCCCTAATTGAAACCTTTTAGCACGTACACAGCGTAACACCATAACACCATAATATAACAGTTCCAGGGACATAAGAGGTCAACTAGGTGTGATAATACAAATCAAATAAACAATGATCCCTCTTGGTCAAATAACACAACACAAAATGAATAAATACAATAAAATAGTAAAACCTATAAAATAAATAAAACAATAATAATGAAAGTAATAACAAAATGTCCACTGTAATATTTATTTATGTAAAAAAAAAAAAATGTGTAATATAAAAGCTCAATGACTAACTTCCAAGAAACTTAAGGCACATTTCTGGTTAACTCAAGATGAAATGTGATGTAGGCAAGGCAAGTTTATTTATATAGCACTTTTCTGTACGCGACAATTCAAAGTGCTTTACAAAACAAATTAAAAGACTAAACTTGTGAACATAAACTCTGCAGATAAAACCAACTGAGCGATTAGTCGACAAGTTAAGTATTGTTTGTGGAATTTCTTAGGTGTCAAACAGCCCTAGAGATAACCGATGGCGACCACTCGCCACTTGCTGAATCGATTCTTCTTGCCCTGGCCCCCACTCACCATGTCCATCATTTTAAGTCCTTCAAGTAGTTTGCAGTTTCGGTTTTTGAGGCGGTGGGCTTCGTCTATCACCACACAGCGCCAATTCACGTTGCGCAGCTCCGGACAGTCGGTCAGAATCATCTCGAAGGTCGTTATCACAGCGTGGAACCGGTACGCTCCCTTTGTTACTTTACCCTGGAGGAGGGGAAAGAATGAGGGTCAATATGACTCATCTTTATTGTCTAAGTCTGTACATTCAATATTATTTCATGCTGTGGATCAGGGAGGGAAACAGTTTTTACTTGAATGAAAAATATACAATCATTGCAACTCCATAATAGTGAGAAAAGGCCAAAAAACAACATTTGACACCAGTTGTATGTTTTCTTTAGAACAGAATACCCCCTTTAATATTATCACCATTTTAGAGATGGCAGACATAAACAGTGTAACCCTGAAGTGTTTTGTGTAGCAGTGCAGGAACACGTGGTCCAGTTCGACCTTGAGGATTACCTCAGCCAGGATTAGGAACAAGCAGCTAGCAAGGACACGGGTACTCCAGCTTATTTCCTTCAGTGGTGGCCTGGGTTTCACTGAGTGGCTGAGAGTGTCCGCAGCATTGTACAATAAGAGCTTACAGCTCGAGGAGTGTAAAGAGCTTACACAGCAGAGGAGCACTGTCCATCCCCAGCTGACCGGACCCCCCTCCCCCCCACAGGGTAGCTGTTCAGATGTGCTGACAGTCACACTGTACTGCTACATCATTCTCCTCATACAGAGCTAATAACAGGACGCATCAACACTCGTCCTTCTTCAGGTCTTTCATTTACTACACTTTATTTAGGATGAGCTTCCAAAACACGTACTTTACATTTCAAGCAAATTACACTTGTTTTAGATAGAAATATGTATAATGAAAGCCTGGAAAAGGCTTTTTATATGTTTGGCAATTCTTGACGGACCTTTAACGAAATTCAACATCAAGCTAAATCACAGAGAACTGAGCTGAAACAGCCTTTATCTCTGGCCGTTCATTCTTTGTCTAATTAAACATAACATTTGATGATTTATACGATACTACTTTATTGGTCAGATCAAATCTGAAATTTGACTTGCGTCACAGCAGCTCCATGTCCAACGTCAACAGACAAGTATCCAGACACAATACTTGAAACACAAACAACAAACATTTAACATAACAGCACAATCAGTGAGAGAAAAACATGCTCAAAGAACCTTCAGCGTGCATCTGATCTGTGATTTAGCTCTGTATTTACTGTGAGGATTGACTGATGTACAAAGGAGTGCATTGACTTTATTGAATCGTGGGACCCTGTATCTCCGATTAGATGGTAGCAGTTCATATTCACTGTTCAGAACATGGTTTGGGTCAGAGATGATGTTGTTGGACAGCCTCACTAGGTTGTTATGATAGGCTGAGTCATAGAGTCTCTGACAGGGTTGACCAACAATCTTTGAGCAGATTTTTAACAGGTGGAGCAGTTCTGATTTTAAAGCTGCTGACAAACATTTGTACCAGGTAGTATTGCAGTACTGCAGAATAGACATGATCACAGATGTAAAGAACAACAGAAGAATTTCTCTGCTCGCCCCAAAAGACGGCGGAGAAAATAAATGATTTGTTTTGTCCTTTTGCACAGATATTCAATGTGATCCTTCCATGACAGCAGATGGTCAATCATTACACCAAGTATTTGTATGAAACTCCCTGCTTGATTTCATCTGTATGGATGACAATGGGGACTTTATGGGAGTCAGATGGTGAGCCAAAAATGATTTCCTCAGTTTTCTTGGTGTTGATCTCAAGAGCATTGTTATCAGTCCACTCAACAACCTGATTTACAGCCTGTTGGTGCAGCTCAGGGTCGTCTGTG